AACCTCGGCGCACTCCCCCGGGCGTCCGACATACGCGGCGACGGGTTCGGAGGGCATGATGGCGGCGATGCTGTCCCACGCCTACGGCCCCAGCAGTGGCGGGGCCGCCGCTGCCGCGCTGAACGGGGAGCAAGCGGCCCTGCTGAGAAGGAAGAGCGTCAACACCACCGAGTGCGTCCCGGTGCCCAGTTCCGAGCACGTCGCCGAGATTGTCGGACGCCAGGGTGAGTGCGCCGAGGTTCCTCTGGGCACGGCCCTGGGCGTGGGTGAGAGAGGAAAAAGACGGGCGTGCGGCGGAAGAGCGAGCCCGGAGGGTCCCCCCGGGTCCACCAAGAAAGGGTCTGGGAGGGAGGGAGCGCGGGGTCGCCGAGGAGGGGATGGGTCACCTTGGCGAAAACCCACGCCGGTCGCCCGCTTCAGCCTGATAAGAAGTGTTAAGTTTCCCGGGCCGCCCAGGCTAGTAGTCTTTACTCGGTGTCTTCGTGGAACCCCAGGCTGGCATGGCACCAGAAACCTCAGTACGGTGGTAAGAGGGCAGGTCAGAAGTTTTGGGTACGGTACGGTTTCCCGAAAGCTTCGAGGTGGCAAGGGTGTGTAGCCGCGTGGCCGGTAAGAATGGCCATCCTTCCCTCGACCGGCTTGTGCTGATGAGAGCGGACCGACATGGAGGCTCTGTGTCCATAAACCTACTCGGGAGGGAAGCGATGTTCAGGCGGCCGCATCGCCGCCTCCCTCCTCCGCTATTCAGAAACTTAGCTTTAGGAGAGCACCCAAACTCTGTTGGTCTTAGGTACTCAGTGGACCCTTTTTTCAAAGAGGGGGTCTTCGGTCTCTTGCAACACTTAAGCTTGTACGATGAAGGGAAAGCTGGGCGGTTAGGTAATTAAAGAACTTTATGCATTTGTGCAGTTTTCGACCAGTTTTCTTCTTCACTTGCCAGCACACCCGGTCTGCAGACAGACTCCTCCCACATTGTTCAGACAAAGGACCTATGTCTCAGATTCCAGGAGTAGGTTTGTGAAGGTGGGGGAAGGGGATGCGCAGAGTACCTCTGTAGCCGACATTTTTAGGGGAGGTTCTGTATGCTGGAGTGCAGCTTGTGCCTCTTACAAGGGGCCATGCTACCTGCTGCTGCCGTGATACAACGTGGTGCAGCCTGGTGGAGACGTGCCTCTTGCTGAGGTCAGAGAGAGGATGGCTCTGCTGCTTGATGATCTCATTTTCCCAAGTGGTTCTAAAGTACACATAAATAAGAGATTGTCGAAACAGTGACTTCACACGTAAGAGACGGCTTACTTCTTTGCTGGGGTTTTGGTAAGAAAAGCTTATGTGATGTCTGGACACCAAATAGCTTGTAAAATAGCTTCTTTCAGATTGTCTGATCAGTTTCACATGCCTCACTCGCCAGTTGTAGGAACTGATCAGGATAACAGGCAATGAGAAAACTGTTTTATGCACATGAAATAAAAATGCATTTTATTTGTAGATACAGAATGCGATGACTTTTCGTTTAAAATCATTGAATGCTTGATTTTGCTCGATAATGAGTTTATGATAATAAAAATTTGCGGCTGATTCAGACTTTCTGCTCTTCGTTAGAAATTAACAATTCAATAGAACGGCTCTAAAGTACTGTGACTGTAGGCAGACAAATGACACGTGAGAAACATGACCCTTAGATTAGAAAACAAAGGTGCAAGTATTCGACATGTAAGGAAACCGGAAGAGTAGTACCTCCTGGATGGTGATGAGAAAATCGCCCAAATTTTGTTAGCAACTAGGATCTGGTAAACAGGGGTGATGGAAGGGGTCTGGGAAGTGATTGTTTAAGCCGTGGAATATAGAGATTTGAATGGCATACCGGGAAAACACCTCAACACAACTTAATTTGGTGTTCATGTGCTTGTCTGAGGTAGCAAAGAAAAAACAATTGCTTGCTAGTTTTACCACATGACAATGATATATCTTGGTAAGTTTAGTTTAACATGAGCTTTCGTTCTTTACATCCTTAAGCACCTTAACTGTAAACTGGTACTACTTATACAAAAAAGTAGCACATTTTTATTTTGTGCTATTACATGATAACTGCCTTAGTTTTCCTTAGGGCTGTGCTTATTGGTTAATAAGGAAATGTGACTCTTAGAACATGGAGACAGATTGCTGGCTGTTCTTGCACTTAGTATTTCCCAGAGTTGATGGTACTATTAAAAGTATGTCGTCTTCCTCTATCTTATCTTAAGGGCAGAAAGTCTTGCCCTTTTCCTGTTTTGCACCATTCAACTAATGGATCATTGACCCCTTTACCACCCACACACCCCAGTAGCATGGTAATAAAACTTGTATTTGCTCTCTCCTATATAGAACTAAGTGGCTTCTAATATTCATATCGTTTTACTGTGGGAAACTTTCTCCTTGTCAGAGTACCTGTCCCGAGTGAATTTTTTAAAAAATGAGATTTAAAAAAAAAAATGGTAAATCACTTCGAGTTTTTTGTTTACTATGGAAGAGCTGACTGTTATCCTTAAGAATTTGCCATTCCTGCCATCTTATTCATTACCTGAAGTCATAATTTTCTATTTGACATCTCTTAATTGGTTTTGGAAATAATTATGTCACATATGGAGACATTTATAACTTCGGCTGTGGAGCAAAGAGTATAGTATAGGATAAATGGAATTCCGAGCCGTGCATAAGTAGCAACGCTTGCAACTAACCCTTAGTTCATACGTACATTTATTTTGTTTTTGTTGGTGATAGGTTTTAATCATATAGCCTGGCTGCTGGGCTCACAAACATGTGCCTCTACACCTATCCCCCGACCAATTTTTTTTTTTTTATGTTTATGAGTGTTTTGCCTTTGTGTGCATATGAGCAACACATGTGTGCCTGGTGCCCAAAGAGGTCAGAAGAGGGTATAGGGTCCTTTGGAACTGGAGTTAAAGATGATTATAAGCCGCCATATGGTGCTGGAAACTGAACCCAGGTCCTTTGCAACTGAGTACTGCTAACTGTTGAAACATCTCTTCAACCCCAAGACGGTTTCTTTTTTTTTTTAATGAAGTGTCTGTGTATGTGTATGTGAATGACTGCAGAGACTAGAGTTAGATCTCCCTAGAGTTGGAGCCCCAGCCACCAGATTGGGTGCTAAGAACTGAACTGGAGTCCTCTAAAAGAACAGTATGTGCTCTTAACCACTGAGCCATCTCTTTTTATCCCTCTTCTCCCCAGACCACTTATAAATGGCAGAGCATTTGACCTCCTATTTTAGTTTATGTTGTTACTATTATGTTTTTTTTAAATATGTATTTATTTATTATGTACACAATATTCTGTCTGTGTGTATGCCTCATTACAGATGGTTGTGAGCCACCATGTGGTTGCTGGGAATTGAACTCAAGACGTTTGGAAGAGCAGGCAATGATCTTAACCACTGAGCCATCTCTCCAGCCCCTACTATTACGTTTTTTAAGTGTTGCACTTTGTGAAATTAGCAATACTGTTAATATTGTACTTAAATTTATTTATTACATCTAATAAATTATATTAAAATAAGATAAATTCAGAACTGGAAAGATATATTGATAATAAAATTTTTTTAAATAAAGACATCAAAGTAAGTCTAAAGCTGAGAAGATGGCTCAGTGGGTCAGATACTTACTCCACAGCGTGAAGTTGTGACTCAGATCCCTAGCACCACATAAAAAGCTGGAGCTGGTGCCATGTAGCTAGAATCCCAGCTCTGTAAGACTGACAGGAGGACCGGGAGACTTGCTCGCCAACTAGTCTAACCAATCACTGGGCTCCAGGTTCAGCAAAATACCGTGTCTCAAACAAGGCGGAGAACCATAAAGGAAAACATGAGACATAAACCTCCAGCCTCCACGTGGGCATTTGTGGGCATGCACAGATGTACACATACTATAAGTATTATACAATCTTGTTTTATAAATACAGAATACCTCTGTTTTTAAATGTGATGCCTGCAAGACATTAATAGTGGTTGACAGGTTTGGTTGAAGACAACAGGTTTTATTCTAGTTTGTACAGCTGTTACTATCCAGTAAATCTAAAAGATAAATTACAATAGAACTCTTGATTCTTTTTTGGTTTTTCAAGACAGGGTTTCTCTGTATAGCCCTAGCTGTCCTGGAACTCACTTTGTAGACCAGGCTGCTTCGAACTCAGAGATCTCTCTGCCCTGCCTCCCAAGTGCTGGGATTAAAGACATCACCACTGCCTAGTTTGGATCCATTTTCCTACACTATCAATTAATATTAAATGCTGTAAATTGAGTTTAAGATCAGTGCTCATTTTCAGCTACTTTTAACAATGACTTTAAGTTTTATTATATGTTCTTTAACCTTATAGGTCTAGAAAAGTCATTTTTAATTGTACACTCTTAACAAATTTTGTACCCCCAATATACAATTTATACATGGTAGTGTATAAATAATGTATGCTAAAATAATGTACACCGTACAAAAAATTAAAAAAATTAAAGTAAAATGAAAATGAGTTCTTTGTTTTTATCTGTTTGCTGGTATTCTTATACCCTAGATGTCACTGAGTTAGACCACTTAGAAAACTCCTTCGTTGATCGGATTATTTTGTTACCGCTGATCTCCAGTGACAGTGTGTATTAGTGTGTGGAGGAGACTTCACATTGTTCCAAATTTTTGTCAATAGTGTTTGATCAGGAGAAATAGGTTTTCCATCCAAAAGTACATACGTATTTAGCTAAAGAATTTCAGAACAGCACTGAAATCATGGTATCTTCCCATAATACTGCTGGAGAAAGGAGTAAGTCCGGGCTTGCCTCAAATCAAACTCCAGATCTCTGCCCCCTGCTTTATGAGTGCTGAGATTACAGGCATATTATCACACCCAGCTAGTAATTTTCTAGTACTAGAATTACCAAACCCAACTAAATTCAATATATGTGCATATCGTAATAGTTTGAATAGTTGTCTGTAACAGATTTTGAGAATTTTGTTATTCTTCAGTAGCTAGAATATCTCGTGCCAGTGTTTGAATTTAGGGCCGTTGAGTATGGCTATTGTATGATTATTGCCTTTGTCTAGTAATCAGAAGACTACAAATCATTGCATGTAAGGAAAGCCTTATTTAACCATACACAGTAGGATGAACTAGTAAGACTTAGCTTTAAAATAATAGAGAATTTGTTACTGACAATTGTAGGTGCGGTTGAAATTAGGAATAAAGG